TAACTCTTTCTTTGTTTTTTATTGTATATATTGGGGCTGATGTGAACTCTCCTGCCCAGGAGTAGTGGGACTTGTTTTTGTATATTTGGAACAGACAATTATTACCAAAATTAAAAGGAAATTTACAAAGGGAGAGGACTGATTATGAAACATCATTTGGCTTGGCCGTGGAGAACAAATCAGGCCAGTTGGAGAAAACCAATTCTGAAAACGAACATGCAATTTATCGGAAGGTTGTAGGAGGGGGTCAATTTACATTTAGGACAGTGACGTGGGCGAGCAGAAAGAAGACTCTTAGCAGGTGGTTTATTTTTTTTGTTCACAACTTTTGTTCAGTTTTTATTTATTCAATATTTTAATGGATGGAAATCGTGTTTGGATCTTGGTAGTTCTTGGGTAACATTTTTCTCTGGTGACACCTGTGGAGTCAAAGTGCGCTGTTTATATCTGCGGCAGAGAAGACTTTATTGTTTTGGGAGGTTTGTGTTTTGGAGGATTAGAGAGAGAGGAAGGATGGCACCCTGCCTGTAGAGGAGAAGATTATTATGTTTGCCACTTGCCAGCACGCTGTGCGTGAAAATCTGCAGAGAATGACATTAGGCCGTCCATTCTGTCATGTATTCCAGGGTTGTAACTAGCCCCCATAAATAAAAATAACTCTGGCTGTGCAATGTCTCACGCTGAAACACTGCACAGCCAGGCAAATACCACCATAACCACTTCAAATCACTTAGAAGGGCCATATTTGTACATGTTGGACCATAATTCAGGGCAGGTATTGAGGAGTCAATAACATTTTTATTAATAAACCAATTTCCATGATTTAACACACAATTAATTCTTTCTCATTTACCTCTTCATTCCCTCTATACTCTACCAATAGCTGCAACTCTGTTTATTTATTTAGCCATCACTTCCAAACTTCCACTGCTACCTCTTGTCTCAAATCCCCACGGTATATTTTAGATTGTAAGCTCATGGGTTATCTAGCTAAGCACTTTGTATAAAAGAGCTTAAATGGCTAGATATTAGTTTATGGGCAGGGCCCTCTCTACCTTTTGTATTTGTCTGTATATATTGTATGTTCTCTACTAATTGTACAGCACTGAGGAATCTGTTGGCGCTTTGTAAATACAAGTAATAATAATAATAATAATGAATGACGTATGGAGATTTGTTTGACGAGGTACGGAAGATGACATATTTTAAATGAGCTCCATTTGCCGCCTCGCGTGTCAGGCTCTTTGGATTGCATCGTTCATAACATTAGTTAATGTTTGAGACTCTATTGATCGTATTTCTGTACTGATATTCTCTTTGAGCTGTTAAAGTGAACGCTGTTTGTTCTCGTACACCCGCTCCTTCTGATAATCGGGAGCTGAAAGGTTGGGTGAACATGGTGACTAATTACTAAATTCTGAATCTGTTAATTACTTGAAATGATTCCCTTGAATAACAGTAATCTCAGGAGGTACATTGTGGCCCTGGCTGTGTGGGCAGTAGCCCCATCCTGTTGAAACCACATTCCACGACAATTTTCCACTAATGGACATAAAACATTTTTATTATATCCGATATCTCACACCAATAAAATTACACTATTTTTACTTGTTGTTCCTTTGTGACATTACCCATGATGAATTTCCTAAGACTCAGTTATAGTATGCTTCTGCAAGAAAAAAAATGGATCTACGAACAAATATGTTGTTTACCTGTCAAATCCTACTCTGAATTTTGGGCCACCCTGCAGTAACCCTTTGATCTTCTCATAGATTCATGTCACACACAGGAGATATGAGATCAAGAGATATGTTTGTAGGCAAATTGCAAAGAGAAGTTGTGACGAAGTCCCCTTCGCCACTTGGTCCTGGAGAGGCCTACTTGCCAGCCTCCTCCCCTGTGACTATGACTCTTTGATGTATTTGGCTTTAAAGCCCCTAGTCTACCTTCAGACAGACTATTTATGTAGGCTGCTTTATTTCTCTATGTTTTAGTCACCCTGTACCCATTATAGGTGCAGGGTGTGTGTAATGTAATTGTTTATAGTGTGTGTGTGTGTGTACTGTGTAATGTATTGCCTGCTCTCCTGTACTGCTGAGGTTTGCTACCAACTAGGTGGGTTTGGCTATGGAGCTTGTCTAGTGCCCTCTGTTGATAGCAACAGCAATATGCACTACCTAAATTGCAAGACTGGTTCATTTGCATATTCGGGTAGATTTGCATATTGCTAATTCTGCAGACACGTGAGATATTTTCTGTTAAATATTGTCTCCCCCACCCCTTTAAAAATGTGCCATTGTGTTGTGATAAGTCACTGTATGTTGCCTGCTATGGTTTGACTGTTTGTGATTATATTGAGTTTTCACAGCAATGTTAATGTTGTGACCCTATGGGCTGGTCCCAAGGGAAATAAAGGTTTAGACAGTTTTTCTTGACCCTTCAAAATGTAGCCTCGTCTTGCTCTTGAAAGGGGAATTTCTGCTGCTTAATCACTTAGCTCTTTTCAGAGTTGCACCTGGATTCCACTCCTGAACCAGCAGAAGGGAATAGGCGACTCCATCTACACAGCGACTGCCAGGGAGAAAAGGACGTCCCTAACGGCTGGTACCCTCTCTACACCAGGGTAGCCGTTACAGAAGTGAAAATAGATTTAACAGTTAGCCAAACAAATGTAAATGTAATTAAATAAGAACCAGTGGATAGGTCTTAATTAATGCATGATAATCAGACTCAACAATATCAATATACTATCATAATATTATACATAATACTATCATAATACTTCCAAAAATGCTGTCAGTCTTAAAGGGACAGTCTAGGCACAAGCAGGGGGGATCCAGACCCCAATCTTGGAAGGGACATTATAAGATTATTAAATCACAGTACTGCAGATTAAAAGACATCTTTAAACAATGCATGTTACGGTGTGTTTATTGTTGTAAAAGTCATTGTACAGGAGAGGATGCAAGAGTTTGGAAGCATTAAAACTCGCCCTGGGATAAGAGGGGCATATCGGTATATTATTGTGTGTCACTGTGCATGATGTGTGTGATTGTATGCACATTGTATGTTAATATACATGATCTGTATATTATGTTACAGTTATATAAAATATATTATTAATTAATGATATAGTTATAATAGGGTTTGGTATGTAATGTACATAACTGGTTAATGGTTGTGAAAAAAATCTGGGTTCACAATGAAAGGTCAGCGCTGCGGAATATGTTGGCGCTTTATAAATGCCAGTAATAAAAAATAAAAAAAATCATATTCCAAACCGGCTCTGGGGGTTAACCTAATTAAATATGAAAAGGAACTTGACACATGTAAAGAGGACTTGGATGAGGACAATAGGGGTTGTAGATCCTCCAGACTCCCTGTCTCTGTACAGTGAGGAAGGGGGGGGGGGGGGTTTGTTTTACCTGATGCCCCCAGATCTGTTAAACTGAACTTAACGTGTGACTCTTTTGTAAGTACCATTCCTCCCAACCATACCGATCTTGGCAGGACAGTCCCTCCATCCTGACTTTGTTCCCCAAAAAGTGTAGCACAAACACATGATTAGACTCGCACACACTTATATGATGGGGACATGAGACAGTGGGGATCTGGAGAAATCTGGGCAGCTATTGAGAGCATTTGCACAGACTTTCAAGATGTGATATGATTGAGGGTGTTATTAGAGAAGATGCCGAAATGCCTGAGAAAAGCCCAGGGGTTAAACAGGGCCCCTGGAAACATGAATTTAGTGGACTCCATTCGCCATCCTTATATGAAGAATGAAGTGTGGGCCTAGGGCCCTGGGAGATTGCAATCTGTCTCTGGACTCACATAGACACATGCACAAGAGCAGCCTCAGAAACAAACACATATGGTATATAGACAATGCTCCCTCTAATTGTAGTAGTTGGTGTGCGCAGAAATATTTTGTTATTTCCTGTTATGAAAGTATGTCTTATTATTATTTTATTATTTATATAGTGCCATCAGATTCCGTAGCGCTGTACGCAGTGAAAGCTTGTGCGTAAACCTAAAACCTTTTAAGTAAATTTTCTCACGACCTCTCTCTCACGGCTAAAAAACTGTATTGTCATGTTTTGATATAATACAGATATGGTTAGGGAAAGTGAGTCAGGTTGGGAGAGGAATAACGGGGGATTACCCCGGGAATGTATTACAATTCTGAATAAATTAGGGAAAAGCACAAACACACAACCAGAAAAATCCCAAGACATAATCTTTATTAGTAATTTTAACACAAAAAAACAAAAACAAATAACAAACATGCATAAAATAGTGAAATTCAGCCATGAACGGGACTAGATAGGCCTTGCAATCATAACTAGGGTGCCCCTAATAAAATGAAACGGAGACTGACTTATTCAGGAATGTCTGCGTAGATATAAATATCGTGAAAATAAAATAAGTGTATAACCCTTTAAGAGAGGAAACTAAGTATTCACTGGTATCCCCATATAGTTAGTTAATGCAGATACCTATATTCCTACCATATAATAAATAACTAAAAACAGCCGGTGCTGATGGTGATGAAAGAAACAAGCTGTAATGTCCAGAGGAGCGAGGACTCAAAAGTAAAGTCAATGTGTATCTAGATGGCTCAATGGATACAGAATGTCAGCAGGGAATATATAACAAAGTATCCAGAGCCCAATGAGCTGTGTGTTCAGAGACAGGAGATATTCAATGATACATGGGACATTATACATTGTAACCGGACATGATGGGACATTATACATTGTAACCGGACATGGTGGGACATTATACATTGTAACCGGACATGGTGGGACATTATACATTGTAACCGGACATGGTGGAACATTATACATTGTAACCAAACATGGTGGGACATTATACATTGTAACCGGATACATTGTAACCGGACATGGTGGGACATTATACATTGTAACCGGACATGGTGGGACATTATACATTGTAACCGGACATGGTGGGACATTATATATTCTAACTGGACATGGTGGGACATTAAATATTCTAACAAGACATGGTGGGACATTATACATTGTAACCGGACATGGTGGGACATTATACATTGTAACCAGACATGGTGGGACATTATACATTGTAACCGGACATGGTGGGACATTATACATTGTAACCAGACATGGTGGGACATTATACATTGTAACCAGACATGGTGGGACATTATACATTGTAACCGGACATGGTGGGACATTATACATTGTAACCAGACATGGTGGGACATTATACATTGTAACCGGACATGGTGGGACATTATACATTGTAACCGGACATGGTGGGACATTATACATTGTAACTGGACATAACCTCTGCTGCACAGAGGGATAATCCACTTAACGGTATATTCTAGTGGGAGTATCCCTCTCGTCCAGCAGTGCATGGTGGGAGAAATGTATGTGTTGATCAGTTCCCCATGTAGTCCCCTACTGTAAAACCCCTGGAATGTCAGTAGGGAAACCCCTTGCATGGGGAATCCCATAAATACAGTGACCTGTGATTAAAACCTCAGTTGACTCCCAGCCTATGTGTCGTCTAGTTCTTGGGAAGGAAGGATTCTTATAATGCTACCAGTGGGGGGGTACAACTAGTATATATATATATCTAAACAGCAAAAGATAACAAAAACCTACCAGTAGGTGTCACCAGAGGTTAGGAAAAAATATCGAACTTGAGTCTTAATGTCTATTAATAAAACCTAACTTTTAATATGTTAATGCATAAAATAAGACAGGTGTGACAAGCAATATTAAAATAGAAAATAGGAAGAAAAAAAAATCAGCGCTAGATTGCCACACAAACAGTAGTGATAATAATAAGGCTGCACTCCTTAAAATCTAGCTCTGATATTGCGCACGTGAAGTGGAATAATCCCCACTCAAGGATATACAGAGTAATATTTGATTGGCGAATATCTGGCTCAAATTCAGCGTCCGAATTAGTGTTGTTCGACCCAGAAAAAAAGAATAAAATATAGTGCTCTCTGTAAAGTAATTAAAAGTTGTAAAAGAGTATAAAATATACTACTCACATTATTTAGAGCAGGCTTGTACTGCTCGGTGTAAGCGCTTGGGTGGTATAATCCCCACCTATGGATTCTTTAGACGTCTTGTAAAATATGCTGTATGTGTATGGTCAGGTGAAAAAAGAAAGAAAATGGCAATAAAGTATTTTATGCCAAAATAATTTCTTTATTATAAAGTAATAAAAATAATATCTAAACGCGTTTCACCTCAAGGGCTTCTTCAAGTAGATAATAGTAAAAAGGGAACACACCTGACAAACAAAGGTTTATATAAGATACAATAATGCTATGGAATTTTGAAATTCCTGCCAAAATGACGTCATAGGAACCTTAATATTATAGTGCACATCAAAACAGTGATTAAAACATAAATTTCTGTAAAAATAAATAACATACTCGTTTTCCTGGCACTATAGTGCCCTGAGGGTGCCCCCACCTTCAGGGTCCCCCTCCCGCCCGGCTCTGGGGAGAGGAAAGGGGTTAAAACTTACCTTTTTCCAGCGCCGGGCGGGGAGCTCTCCGCCTCCGATCCTCCTCCTCTCCTCCTCTCCTCCCATTCGGCTGAATGCGCACACGTGGCAAGAGCTGCGCGCGCATTCAGCTGGTCTCATAGGAAAGCATTCATAACGCTTTCCTATGGACGCTTGTGTGTTCTCACTGTGACTTTCACAGTGAGAATCACGCAAGTGCCTCTAGCGGCTGTCAATGAGACAGCCTCTAGAGGAATTGAAGGCTGGATTACTGCTATGTTTATTAAAAAAATTGGTTAACCCTAGCTGGACCTAGCACCCAGACCACTTCATTAAGCTGAAGTGGTCTGGGTGCCTAGAGTGGTCCTTTAACATGGCAGATCATATGGGTGGGGCGGCAAACTTTACTCTTGCCTAGGGCGGCAAAAATCCTTGCACCGGCCCTGCAGACACTGCATCCCTGTGGGCAGACTCGGGAGGGGGGGGGGGCAGCACTTTGGGCGGACTCGGGTGCAGGCACCGGGGGGCCCAGACCTTGAGCTGTGTCAGGGGCCCCAAAATTTCTGATGGCAGCCCTGGCCCGCCTCTGCACTTTTTCTAGTGCCATAATATCCTTCTTTAGAAAAGGTGCCCAAAATTGCACAGCATATTCATTATGTGGTCTTACCATTGATTTATAAAGAGGCAAAATGATATTCTTGTCCCGAGAATGAATGCCCTTTTTCATGCATGACAATACCTTACTAGCCTTGGCCACTGCTGATTGACATTGCACATTGTAGCATAGTTTGTTTTCTATAACAATTCCCTAGTCCTTTTCGTGTGTTGTTATCCCTAATTCGCTTCCATTAAGGGTATACGTTGCTTGTGCATTCTTTACGCCGAAGTGCATAACTTTGCATTTTTCAACATTAAATTTCATCTGCCATTTGAGTGGCCAGTCCCCAGTCTATCTAAATCCCTCTGCAGCAAAGTAATATCTTGCTCACAATGTATTATTTTACAAAGTTTTGTGTCATCTGCAAACACTGAAACATGACTTTCAATGCTGTCTTCAAGATCATTTTTTAAACATGTTAAATAGAAGGTGTTCTCTTTTGGGCAAAACCGTCCGTTACAGAAGGGGTCCCAGAACAGACCCCCGAGGGACACCACTTGCCACCTCTGTCCAGCTTGAAAATTTACCATTAATGACAACTCTTTGTACTCTGTTTTTAAGCCAATGTTCTACCCAAGAACAAACATTTTCATCTAGACTGATTTCCTTGAGTTAGAACACTAATCTATTGTGTGGAACTGTATCAAATGCCTTGGCAAAATCCAAATAGATCACATCCACGGCAACACCCTGATCTATACTTCTACTTACTTCTTCGTAGAACGCAATCAAGTTAGTTTGACATGACCTGTGCTTCATAAAACCGTGCTGATTTTTGCTGATAACCATGTTCTTCTCAAGGAATTCTTGAATATTATCTCTTAATAAGCTTTCAAATATTTTCCCAGCCACAGAAGTTAAGCTCACAGGTCTATAATTTCCAGGCAAGGATTTTGAGCCCTTTTTGAATATAGGAACCAAATCTGCCTTCCTCCAATCCTCCGGAACACTTCCTGAAAGAAAAGAATCTTGAAAGATTAAAAACAGAGGTTCACTTATTTCTACACTTAGTTCCTTAAGTACTCGTGGATGGATTCCGTCAGGCCCTGGAGCTTTGTTTATATTAACTTTCTTTAGTTGATGCAGCACCTTGTCTTGAGTTAACCAATTACAATTATTCTGCAAGTTTTTAGTAGCAATCATTTGCACATCTATTGCCATGGGTTCTTCCTTAATATATACGGAGGAGAAATAGTTATTTAAAATTCCTGCCTTTTACTGGTCTTCATTAACTAACACCCCCGTTTCAGTTTTTAGTGTTCCTACACTTTCATTTTTTTTTTTTTTTTTTAGAATTTATGTACTTAAAGAATGCTTTGGGGTTGGTTTTGCTCTCTTCAGCTATTATTATTTCATTTTGAAGTTTAGCAAGTCTAATTGCCTTTTTGCACGCATTATTTGCATCATTATATCTTTTATAAGATACATCCGATTTGTTCGATTTAAATGCCCTTTTCTTATTTTTAATCTCTTGTTTTACTTCTCTACTAAGCCACGTTGGATTTAATTTGTTTCTTTTATATTTATTTCCCAATGGTACATACTGAGAAATGTACCTTTCTAATATTGGTTGGAAGATGATCCATTTATCCTCAGTGCTCTTTTCACTAAAGAGTTTATGCCAGTCAATATATTGTAAAGCTGCCCTTAACTTATTGGAATTGTCCTTTTAAAAATTATACAGGGAGTGCAGAATTATTAGGCAAGTTGTATTTTTGAGGATTAATTTTATTATTGAACAACAACCATGTTCTCAATGAACCCAAAAAAACTCATTAATATCAAAGCTGAATATTTTTGGAAGTAGTTTTTAGTTTGTTTTTAGTTTTAGCTATGTTAGGGGGATATCTGTGTGTGCAGGTGACTATTACTGTGCATAATTATTAGGCAACTTAACAAAAAACAAATATATACCCATTTCAATTATTTATTATTACCAGTGAAACCAATATAACATCTCAACATTCACAAATATACATTTCTGACATTCAAAAACAAAACAAAAACAAATCAGTGACCAATATAGCCACCTTTCTTTGCAAGGACACTCAAAAGCCTGCCATCCATGGATTCTGTCAGTGTTTTGATCTGTTCACCATCAACATTGCGTGCAGCAGCAACCACAGCCTCCCAGACACTGTTCAGAGAGGTGTACTGTTTTCCCTCCTTGTAAATCTCACATTTGATGATGGACCACAGGTTCTCAATGGGGTTCAGATCAGGTGAACAAGGAGGCCATGTCATTAGATTTTCTTCTTTTATACCCTTTCTTGCCAGCCACGCTGTGGAGTACTTGGACGCGTGTGATGGAGCATTGTCCTGCATGAAAATCATGTTTTTCTTGAAGGATGCAGACTTCTTCCTGTACCACTGCTTGAAGAAGGTGTCTTCCAGGAACTGGCAGTAGGACTGGGAGTTGAGCTTGACTCCATCCTCAACCCGAAAAGGCCCCACAAGCTCATCTTTGATGATACCAGCCCAAACCAGTACTCCACCTCCACCTTGCTGGCGTCTGAGTCGGACTGGAGCTCTCTGCCCTTTACCAATCCAGCCACGGGCCCATCCATCTGGCCCATCAAGACTCACTCTCATTTCATCAGTCCATAAAACCTTAGAAAAATCAGTCTTGAGATATTTCTTGGCCCAGTCTTGACGTTTCAGCTTGTGTGTCTTGTTCAGTGGTGGTCGTCTTTCAGCCTTTCTTACCTTGGCCATGTCTCTGAGTATTGCACACCTTGTGCTTTTGGGCACTCCAGTGATGTTGCAGCTCTGAAATATGGCCAAACTGGTGGCAAGTGGCATCGTGGCAGCTGCACGCTTGACTTTTCTCAGTTCATGGGCAGTTATTTTGCGCCTTGGTTTTTCCACACGCTTCTTGCGACCCTGTTGACTATTTTGAATGAAACGCTTGATTGTTCGATGATCACGCTTCAGAAGCTTTGCAATTTTAAGAGTGCTGCATCCCTCTGCAAGATATCTCACTATTTTTGACTTTTCTGAGCCTGTCAAGTCCTTCTTTTGACCCATTTTGCCAAAGGAAAGGAAGTTGCCTAATAATTATGCACACCTGATATAGGGTGTTGATGTCATTAGACCACACCCCTTCTCATTACAGAGATGCACATCACCTAATATGCTTAATTGGTAGTAGGCTTTCGAGCCTATACAGCTTGGAGTAAGACAACATGCATAAAGAGGATGATGTGGTCAAAATACTCATTTGCCTAATAATTCTGCACTCCCTGTATGTTTTAGTATTCCCCATGTGCTTTTGTTTTTTTGAGTTTATTTCAAAGGACACTATATTGTGATCACTATTTCCCAAGTGCTCACCCACTTGAATGTTGGTCAAAAGATCAACGTTGTTTGTTAAAACCAGGTCCAGACAAGCGTCCATTCTAGTTGGTGCTTGTACAAGTTGTGACATGAAGGTGTCATTTAACAAGTTTAAGAACCTAATTCCCTTTGCTGAGCTACTAGTCCCTCTGTCCCAATTTATGTCCAGGTAATTAAAATCTCCAATAATTAAAGTAAATAATAAATAAAGTAAATAATCAGTAAAAGAAAAGACGGGTTTTATTCTTTAGAACAGACCTGCTGTATTTCTGAGCTCCTATTGTATAGTTAACGTTGTAAGAAGCAACACAAGGTACTTCAATCAGTAAGCTAATGCTTATCTTTTAGCTGGTCTGTAGTTCTTAGAATGGAACCTTCAAGGTAAAAGATTCTTATCTCATGTGCCTTCGAGGGCCCCCCTTAATAAAAAAACCTGTCTATTCTGTCTTATGCCCACCGCTTGAAATTAGTAATAAGTAAAGGTAAATAGTCGATCTTAGGACTGCTAGATCCCTAAAAATGTATACACCAGGTCAGTATTCTGTCAGTGCAGATCTGGGCAATTACCGATTAGATGTCCTGAGCCCCTGACTCACGCGTTTCGCCAGGATCGCTCATCAGAGGGGAACTGAAGACAAGCAAGTGTCTGATTTTTAAACTAGCAACTCATCGATGGTTGGCTGAGCACTTTGTACAGCCTGCCAATCATGAGAGAGGAGGGCATCCTCTTATTTGCAAACTATTTAACCCTTACGTTGCTTACCTAATACATGAAAAGAAATCTCTTATGGAGTAAATGTTAATAATTCATATCTCATCCGTATGTTATGTTGTAATGGCAGATATGCAAGTGTATCTAAACTACAGTAAAAAAAATGTTTAACCAATTCAAACCCAGTTTCTATTTAAACAACATTAGCAAAGGATTCGGCAGTTACCAAGTTTTAGTTCTCCTAAAGGATGATTAGTGTCTCTATATTGATTCATTACAAAAATACATAGAGTGTGCCACAATTGTACTGAAAGGGAGCTTTAATCTCCCTAAATCGTATACTGTGAATGCTTCTGCCTGAATAGATAAAGCTGTAGCTATTTTATGGATTTTATTCAAACTTATTCTCTGGACCTTCAGACCAACTTATATATTGTTATAAAGATGTGGAACTTTTATATTATTATAAAAACGAGGAATATACCAGATGTGAGAATTGTTCTATTTAAATTCAATTATGTGGAGATACCATATTTTGAATAATACATCACTTGTTACCAGTAAAATATCCAGTGTAATGAATTTTTTTTTTTTTTTAAATGAAAATAGGGTAATTCATTTTTTTCAACCGTTAGTAAAGGAAATTAATTATGTATAAAGAGGGTAAAATTGAACTCCTCATTAAAGGATCACTATAGTGCCAGGAAAACATACTCATTTTCCTGGCACTATAGTGCCCTGAGGGTGCCCCCACCCTCAGGGTTCCCCTCCGCTCTAGGGGGAGGAAGGGGTTAAACTTACCTCTTTCTCCGGCACCGGGCGGGGAGCTCTCCTCCTCCTCAGCTGAATGCGCATGCGCGGCAAGAGCCGTGTGCGCATTCAGCCGCGCGCGCATTCAGCTGGTCTCATAGGAAAGCATTCACAATGCTTTCCTATGGACGCTGGCGTCTTCTCACTGTGAAAATCACAGTGAGAAGCGTGGAAGCGCCTCTAGCGGCTCTCAGTGAGACAGCCACTAGAGGCTAGATTTACCCTAACATAAACATAGCCGTTTCTCTGAAACTGCTATGTTTATAGAAAAAAGGGTTAATCATAGATGGACCTGGCACCCAGACCACTTCCTTGAGCTGAAGTGGTCTTGGTGCCTATAGTGGTGCTTTAAGGCCCTGAGGAGACAGAGTCTTAAATTGATGAATCCATCTGGATTCTTTTTTGAGTAAAGTTAAATTAAAATTCCCTTTCCTGGTATTTACATGAACTCGTTCTAGTATTTGAAAAGTAAGTGTAACGGATCACCTGGCACCCCGACTGGGTACCTCCGTTGAAGGATGCTCCTAGCGCTTCCTGAGGGCTCCAAGCACTGCAGCCGACACCATAACCACCGTAGACTCCTTCAGAGAGCAAGGCAGGAACAAGCTCTTACAAGAGCTTAGCAGTGAATATAGCAAGAGAGTATGCAGAGCATAGCAATCCCTTGTAGCAGATTCCCCCAATAAGAGACGGAACTCCAAATTGAGGGTGAAGTAGAACTGTCTAAAACTTTATTTTACTTGGGACTAGCCCATATGGTCATTACATTAATGTAGCAGAGCTGCAATGTTAAATCCCCAAATCTCCGCTGGTACAGACAATAATCCAAGTGAAGCGCTGGAAATGAAGGCAATATCACAAATCCCCCAGTAACCGGACGAAACAACGTTCTGGGAGTCAACTGACGATTTTATTCACAGCTCCAGTATTTATGTGATTCCCCATGCAAGGGGTTTCCTTAATCCCTTTACTGGGGTTATACAGTAGTGGACTACAGGGGGAACTGAATATGCAGGACATTTCTCCCACCATGCACTGCTGTACGAGAGGGATACTCCCACTACAATATGCTGTTAAGTGGATTATCCCTCCGTACAGCAGAACCGGCTTTTCACACAAAAATACATAACTTTAATATTATTCATAGGATTATACCGAATGACCGTTTAGTAGATAGCTGGGGTCTGAGCGCACACTCTGTGAAAGTACCGCTCAGATCCCAGAATAAATAACCGAACGCCGCACGAAACCCACTTTACTATACCTTCATCTTAAAACTACCGAATACATAATTGAGAATAAAATACCGAAGGACCCGTACTCCCGAACAGCCTGGAAGTCCAGCGGTGTTCGTGCCATCGAGTAGCTGATTTTGGTTCAGTGTTATTATTATATTATTATTATTATTATTATTAATAATAATAATTATTATTATTATTTATTATTATTATTGTTATTATTATATTAATATATATCATTAATTATTATTATATATTATTATTAATTATTATTATTTATTATTATATATTATTATTTATTATTATTATTAATTATTATTATTTATTATTATTATATATTATTA